AATGAATAGCCCCCCTCCTGGCTGACAGGATACTTCTAACTCCTGAACAGATCATCCCACTGCTTCCTAAGTCTGTCATCTGAGAGGCCTAGCTAATCACCTCAAATTGCAAATATGGCAAGAGCCCTAGTTTCAAGAATTTAAGAAAGCTAGCTTCCTTTCTTAGTTTAAGACTAGCCTCTGTAGTATTCCTACCCAAGGGTATTCTATCTTTCCTTGGATAGCACCAGTAAAATGAAAGAGACTGTACCAACTGAGAATAGAGAAGGAACCCACATCAGCTCAGAACATCTGCTGAGCTACTGCTGTATACAGGGCTCCGCGGTAAGCACTGTCCACGGCAGAGATAAGCCAGGCACTCTGGCGGCGCAGGGAGATGGGGCAACCACAGGGCAGTGAGCTGAGCACTGCTGGCATTCGAGCCACAGGCAAATGCAACAAATACAGGGGGAAAAAAGAGTGTTTACTACAGAATAGGGGACAGCAGAAACTATGGAGTAACCACTGAGCTCAGTAGGACTTCAAAAGGCAGAGAAGGGCAGGGACAGCATTCCCAAGAGAAGGAACAGCATGTTCAAAGCCTGGAAGTCTTTGGCCTCTTGGTGCAGATCACAGCAGCCAGCATGACTGAAATCAGGCCCAGGGAGCGTGAAATTAGTTTAACATGAGGCCCCAAGCTAAACTGGGACTAGAAACTGAAAGGCAACAAACACTTTACAAGGGGTGAAAAATTGAGAGCACAGGGAAAGGGTGGGGGTGGAGAGAGAGGGGTTGTGCTCCAATCCGGATGACTTTAGATGCCTTTATCTAACAATGCTGGGAACACGAGCAGTCCAAGTTACTGTCCTTATTAAACAAAGTCCCAGGCTTTCCGGTGCCATTACAAAATGAGGGCAGGACCTGAGGTGGGGAAGGGGAGAACAGGAATGTCAAGTGACCCTACGATGCTCATGCTTTGTAAGCAGGTGGCCATCAGGAAAGGTCCTAAATAGAGAAGGCTGTTTCCATCAGGGTGGATTTACTGTGTGCCCCATGGCACTCCTAAGTGTCTCAGGAATTTAGGCAAAATCTGCTTAAACACACAGTCAGTGCTAAACCACTGCAATTCCTCCTCACCTGTCTTAACTTACCAATCAGATTTTCAATCTGATTCAGTCTCTTCCTGATTAAACATTCCAAGTCTATGAAGAGTCTCTCTAGATACTTTTTAATGATGACCCTAAAGGTCACAAAAGGTTGGAAGCACTCCCTGGTGGGTACAGAACCACAAACTGACACTCTCCACTAGGCCCTCTCTTGAAGTTACCTACCGTTAAGTTAAATGCTAGCCCTCATCCATCACCCAACCCAACTGAGAGGATCTAGAGGATGGTATAAGATACCAGACAGCATAAACCAGATTCCATTGACAGATGAATAGATAAAGAAGCTGTGGTACATAAATACAATGAAATACTACTTAGCCATAAAAAGGAATGCATTTGAGTCAGTTCTAATGAGATGGATGAACTTCAAAGTGAAGTCAGAAATAGAAAAACAAATATCGTATATTAACACATATATATGGAACATAAGGGCTTCCCTGGAAGCTCAGCTGATGAAGAATCTGCCTGCCAATTCAGGAGACCAAGGTTGATTCCTGAGTCGGGAAGTTCCCCTGGAGAAGGGACAGGCTGCCCGCTCCAGTATTCTTGGGCTTCCCTGGGGGCTCAGATGGTAAAGAATCCACCTGCAATGCAGGAGACCTGGGTTCCATCCCTGGGTTGGGGTCCCCTGGAGGAGGGCATGACAACCCACTCCAGTATTCTTGCCTGGAGAGTCCCCATGGACAGAAGAGCCTGGCAGGATACAGTCAATCCATGCGGTCGCAGAGTCAGACACGACTGAGCAGCTAGGCACAGCACAGCATGGAATTTAGAAAGACGGTACTGATCGTCTATTCACAGGGCAGCAGTGGAGATGCAGACACAGAGAACAGACCATGGACATGGGTGGAGGGGAGGAAGCAGAGGGAGAGACGAATGGAGACAGTGGCGTGGAAGCATATGCACTACCATATGTAAAGCAGATAGCCAATGAAAATCTGCCATATCAATCAGAGCACTCAAACCGAGGCTCGCTAACAACCTAGAAGGCTGGGAGAGAGTGGGGGCTGGGAGGGAGATTCAAGAGGGAGTGGACATATGTGTGCCTGTGGCTAATTCATGTTGATGTATGCCAAAAATGAAACCTATATTGTAAAGCAATTATATTTAATTACAATTAAAGCAATTTTCATTGTAAAGCAATTAAAAATAAACTAAAAAAAATAAAAGCAGGCAGCATAATAAGCAGATGGCTATAGAAACATCTCATTCTACCTACGATCCTCCTGAGTACAATGTTATTGTGTCCAAGCCCACTGACTAATGTGCCGAGGAGGAATGAAAATTTACCCACTCTACATGATTGCTGCCTGAAGCAAGCTAACTGCCCATGTCCCTCTCTTAATGTTCTTATCCTGGCCAGGTCTTCAGCACAGCCGTGAGGATCTCTGTCTAAGGAATTGCTACTTGGGGAACTTATGACATTTGACTTAATCCCCTTTGGATCCACTCAAGGAAAACTTCAGAACAACTTGTGCTCCAGCAGTCTTTCAGGAACGAGACACACACCGTCAGGTGATCCACGCAAAGGCTCAGGACAAACATCAGTAAGGGTACAATGCCAAGGACACTGTTTTTCAAAGGGCGCGTGGACCTTTATATAACCGCTTCAATCTTTTTTTTTGTTAATGCTCTTAATTTCAAGTTTCAGTCCCCTAGAGATATGAAAGATCTTTAGAAAGACCATCTTCCTTATAATATTTGAATTAGCCTTTCTCTTTTTGAGGGCTTACCAAAAAAGTAACAGAAAAGTCCTTTTCAGATCAGCCTTATGAGTCAGGTCATATGGCACTGGTCAAGGACACTGTGCAGGTTTAAAGTGCTCTGAGCAGGTTGCTTCAGAAAAGACTGAAAACAGGGAAGGCTCAGCAAAACAGACTCATAAAACTTCTTCAACAACTTCTTTTTGTATAGTATAGTGTATATTATATTACACTATCATATAATTTGACCTGTTGCTAAAGTATACTTACTATTAACTATTGATATTTATTTTAAAAAAAAAATGAGAGGTTAAAGTCAAGTCACCTCTTCATATGCCCCTTTGTTAGGTTAAAAAAAAAAATCCTATGAGGGGGTAGGCCCGGAAAGTCCAAATGTGTTTTATACAAGAAGTCTTGAGTTACTTCAAGCTTTACAATCAATAATAATTCTATGCTGTGCGGCAGAAACTAACACAACATTGTAAAGCAACCATACTCCAACAAAAATTTTTAAAAATAATAACGATCATTCTATACACTATGCCCAAATTATCCTCAGTTCTTTATAAAGAATATGGCTTCACTAAAACTACAAGCTTCAAAGCCTCCTCATTTTAATTTCATGAGTAAATGCTTTAGCACCCTCTACTGGCCACTCGTTATATCTAATCAGCTCCTAACTCCTCTGGCCAGTAGGCAGCTAACCTCTCAAAGGTCAGATGGCGGCTACAGCAAAGGCTACCTCACCTCCTTCAAAACCAGCTGCGTGACGGCTGAGCCAGCAGCCGCCGCCACAGAAGGAGAGGATGAACCCTCAAGTGTTCCCCTGCCATGGCTTGTCCATGAGTCCTACTGCTGCTAGCAGATTTCACAAACAGCAGCCGGAGCTCCTGTCTTGTCTGGTCTGCACCTATCTCCAGTAACCAACCCCAGTCTCATTTCCACACACAGATTCCTCTAGGGGCTGAGCCCAGATCACCTCCCCCTGTCTGCTTCATCTAGCCAGCTCCAGGGGCATGGAGGTACCTGGAGAGCAGCTCACCTGTCAGGTTCCATGTGGGTAAACAGAGGACATAACGGAGAGCCTGGGAGGCACCATTTCCCCCACAAGCTCCTAGATAGAACGCTGTTAGGCGTATATTAGCCAGATTTGGCAGGGGCAGGGGGAGGAGTACCAGAAGAGAACTTCCCACTTCCCATAACCTCACGACACAGCAGCTTCCCCTAATCCTCCATAGTCCCCTAGAGAAAGCAAGGCTCCTTTAGCAGGTTCAAACACAAGTAACCTGAACCTGTAATCTCATTATCTGGCTCACTTTCTTTTGGAAAGGGAAAAAAATTAGAGTCAGCTTGGTATTCATTATTCAACAGCAGAAGGAAAGGACAGGAGGGGAAGCAGGAATAAAAAAGAAGTCTTCACTCCCAAATCTTGCTAGATCAAGCTACTGTGTACTATTTACTACTGATAAATGCTAGCTGCTTTGATATCAATCGTCTATTGTGTGAAAAACATTCTTTAGAAGAAGATACTGTAAAGGACTTAAGTGATTCCTTCCATCAAAGAGCTCACAATTTGGGTGCAAAGACCAAACACTTCAAAGGAAGTAATTAGAAAGTGACAAAGTATCATATCCTTTAGTAAAAAATATATACTGGAAATTCCATAAATACATACACACAAAGCCCCCTCTCTTTCTTTCCCTCTCATGTATAGAAAAACAATCATCAAGACATTAATAATGGTCATCTCTGGTGGAACTTTCAATCTACAGTTTTTTCCTTCATATTTTTTAGTACTGTTTGGATTTCCTATAATAGGAATGTAGTATCTTAACAAAGAGAACAGAAGTAAATTAAAAACCAATTTTTCAAGGGTGTACACAGAGGAAACTGCTTATAAATCCAATATTGTACATAATCTGTGAACACAGATAAAAATATACAGAAAAAAAACTGAAGAAAATATATCACATCATGAATGACCATTTTTCTCCAGGGGCCAAAGTGATTTTGTCTTTTCTGCCTTTCATGTGCTTTCTTATTTTCTAGAAGCAAATCAGTCTTTACTTGAATCCTGATGTTAAACTCACTCTCATTTTGAAATATCGCTCACAAAGGTGCTTTACCAATAACCCCTGATGTAATTACACACCTGGAATAAGAGCTGTGCTGATAAGGATGTCCACCTCCTTACACTGCTGAGCAAAGAGCTTCATTTCGGCCTCAATGAACTCTTTGGACATCTCCTTTGCGTATCCTCCTTGTCCCTCACCAGATTCCTTCAAATCCACCTCCAAGGGCTCAGCACCCAGAGACTTAAACTGCTCCAAAGCTGCGGCCCTGGTGATTATTGAAGGGGAAGCAGCAGTTATTTCAGGTCATTAATACAGAAATTAAGATCATCATTTACAGAACTTATTTACAAAACAGAAACAGATTCACAGACTCAAGAGAACAAACTTATGGTTGCTGGGGGGGAGGATGGGGGGAAGGGGTAGTTAGGGAGTTTGGGGTAGACATGTACACACTGCTATATTTAAAATGGATAACCAACAAGGTCCTACCGTATAGCACAGGCAACTAAGCTCAATGTTATGTGGCAGCCTGGATGGGAGGGGTGTCTGGGGAGAATGGATACATGTATACCTAGGGCTGAATCCCTTTGCTATCCACTTGATACTAACATATTGTTAATAGACTATACTCTATACTCTATACTCTAAATAAAATGTTAAGAAAAAAAGATCATTTATATACACATTGTTAAGAAAACTATAAATTCAAAAGTGGACACCTCTTCTTTTGAGATCTCTGACCAGACTGTTTCCATTTTTTTCTAAAGACAGGTAACACTTTTATGATATTTTTTTCCTGGAAAAAAAAAAAAACTATAGGAACTTCTACTAACTTAGTTAACTAAATTACTTAGTTAAGTCACAAAAGGAATTTCACTACTGCCAACTCCAGTCATCAATTTTGTTTCTTGACAGAGGTCCCACTGTCAATGATGAAGTGAGATCTGACCAACATTCAGATTTGACATCAGTCAAATCACTTGTAAACGTTCTGATTTATGGGGACTTTGACCACATAAAGGACCCTTTTAACTTAGAAATATTGTTACAAAGTGATTTTTGCCCCTGCTGCTTCTGCTAAGTCACTTCAGTCCTGGCTGACTCTGTGCAACCCCACAGACGGCAGCCCATCGACGGCAGCCCATCAGGCTCCGCCGTCCCTGGGATTCTCCAGGCAAGAACACTGGAGTGGGTTGCCATTTCCTTCTCCAATGCAGGAAAGTGAAAAGTGAAAGTGCCCCTAGTCCTCACTAAACTGTGTTTAAGAAAAGCAATCTATAAATGGCATAAATGGTAACATGTGAAGAACCAACACAATTAACTTATGTAAAAATACATTCAGGTTAAAAATAAATAAACACTAGCCAAATTCTATGTACTAGCTGGAAAACCAGAGCCAACAAAGCTCTCAGCTCTGTGGTGGACAGTATGGTTTAACCCACCACATCCAGCCCACTACAGTGAATCCCAATCTCCCTAATGACAACAATCACTCCAAGTACTTGTTAAAAATTCAAATTGCCAAGCTCCTCTCCAGACCCACTGAAATTACAATCTCCAGCAGAGGGACCAGAATCTCTATTTTTAGCAAGAGCTGCAGGTCATTCTAATCATCGGGGAAGTTTGGGAAACAGTAGTGGTCTAAGCCCATCAGCCCCATGGCAACCGCCACGGTCAGGGAGAGGAGACAAAGGTAGGATGTAGAAGGCAGGGCAGAAGAGGTAAGGCATGGGTCAACATGAGCTTCTCTCCATTTCTGCCAGCTTGAACAAGGACGCTCATACCTCAGCCAAAGCTGAGGACAGCAGAGAGGAGAGACGGAAAGACCCTGGCCCCGGATGGCACTGATGAGTGATGAGCTGCTGCCTCTAGTGTGAAAAGGGAGTCCTTCCCCTGGATTTTCATTCGGAGATATAATACACTATCTTTTGAATTATTTTTGGCCAAGCAGCATGCAGGATCTTAATTCCCCAATAGGGATCAAACCCAAGCCCCCTGCAGTGGAAGCGTGGAGTCTTAACCACCGGACCACAGGTAAGTCCCAATAATCCATTTTCTTACACTTTAAGTGACAGGGCTTCCCAGGTGGCTCAGTGGTAAAGAATCCACCTGCCAAGCTGCAAACGAGGGTTCAATCCCTGGTCCAAGAAGATCCCCTGGAGGAGGCAAGGGCAACCCACTCCAGTATTCTTGCCTGGGAAATTCCATGGACAGAAGGAGCCTGGCAGGATACAGTTCATAGGATTGCAAAAGAGTCAAAGTGACTTACTGACTAAACAACAACAAAGTGTGTTCTGAAATGAACGTTTTTTTCATGTATTTTTATTGGCGTATAATTGCTTTACAGGGTTGTCAGTTTCTGCTGTAGAGTGACAAGAACTCCCTCCCTCTTGGACCTCCCTCCCCACTCCCCCCACATCCCACCCCTCTAGGTCATCACAGAACCCCAAGCTGAGCTCCCTGTGCTATACAGTAGCCCGAAATGAAGAGCAACTTTAATCAAACTACTCTTTTAAAGAAATTCTAGGAAACTGGTGATGTGTCAGCTTTAAAGAAATATGCAATGGACATAATCAGGTACTTTCATGTGGGGGCTCTACTGCTGTCCAATCACCTTCACCTCCTTCCACCCTTCAACGCAGAGCATGCCTCTCAACGCCCCCCACCCTTCACTCCCCCTATTGCTCACCAAGATGTTGCCCATACTACTCCCCTTCTTCAAACTCAACACCTTTTCTCAAGCCCTACCTAGTGACTAAACACATTTCAAGCAGAAATAAAACACAGTGGAGAAACATGTTAGAAAGTCAGGAGAGAGATTAGCAAACCCTGCTAATCTGGTCCCATTGCTAATCTATGTGAAAATACAAGTCTGAGTATGAGTTGTTTTCTTTTTTTTTTTAAATAATCTCTGCTGTACTGGGTTTGGGTCCTTAAATTTTTTCCCCACTAAGTAATACATTTTTACTTTGAGTAAACTGTGAATAAGTGGAAATATTTTTAAACGGAAAGAAGTCATACAACAGTTTCAATGTACTACTTCAGTTTATAAATTCTAAGGAAAACATAAAATTCACCTGAAGCAAAATGTTTTTAACTTAACAGCAATCACTAGTACAGCACTCACCTTGTGTCAAATCCCCGAACAATGGCACCCATGGACTTGGCTGCACCTGCAGAAGCCAGCCCAGCAACACCACCACCAACTATCAGAATCTAGGAGAGAAAATAGAACCCGCATGTTTTAAATAAAGTTCATGATCCACTGATTATGTAAAATCATCAGCTAGTAACTCTCAGGGCCAGGTATCACACTTAGCATTCACTCTTACACCCGGTGGTGCTGGTGGTGGTATTCAGTCCTCAAAAAATGTACCGAGTGGATAGACTACCCTTTAACTGGACCACCACTGTTTTTAAAAAGTTTAAAATAGGGCTTCCGTGGTGGTCTAGTGGTTAAGAATCCACCTGCCAACGCAGGAGACACAGGTTCAATCCCTAGTCCAGGAGGATTCCACATGCCAAGGAATAACCAAGCCCTTGAGCCACAACTACTGAAGCCCATGAGCCCTAGGGCCCATGCTCCGCAACAAGAGAAACCACTGCAATGAGAAGCCCACACACCGCAATGAGAAACAGCCCCAGCTCACAACTAAAGAAAGCTCATGCAGAGCAACAAAGACTCAAAACAGTCAAAATTAAATAAATCTTAAAAAAAAAAAGTAAAGTTTAAAACAACTTCAGTAAAACAGTGTGATACCCAGCATCTCACTGTAAAAGCTATATACAGCATTAGCACTGTTGGGAATGTTAAAGACTGACAGGTTCTTTCCCACCATATCAAAGCTACTTCTAATAGAATCCCCAGAGTAATATTTCTTTATGCTCATAAAACATCAAAATAAGTTTCAAAGATGGGTACAACTACTTTGTGAAGCATCTAATCCTATTTTTAGCTCAAATGCTTCTACAAAGAAGAGAGGGGACCAAGTGCCTAACTTTGATCCACTGTGAATGAACTGTACCTGAAATCCAAACTAATGTAACTAGTCCCCCTAACCAAGACAGGACTGGAGCCAAGGAAATCAAAGAATTCCTCAGAAACAAGAGTCTCCTCATTCTAAGAAACAAGCTAAGAACAATGTTTTCTCTAGCCTGGAATGGGCCTTCCAGAGAAAAGTCCCTATTATACTTCTCAGTCAATTGAAGGCAACTCCTTGTTCCTGCTTAAAAAAAAAGAGAGAGACAGAGACACCCACAGATACAGTGAAGTTTATAAATTCCCACCCTCCCATCACGCCCACTTCATGTGCCTCTTCAAGAAGAATAGGCTAGTGGAATTGTGCTCCAGTGACCTCTGGGCAGAGTTTTAGAGATCTTGTTTATCAATCTCAATGGGAATGCTTTGTTTAAGGAGCAGATGGGATTTACAGGAAGGGAGACAAAGAGGGACCAGAGGGAATAAGATGCTACTGGGCACCAAGGCACCATTCCACTCCACACACCAAAGCCCAATCACTGGAAAGGAAGGAAAAGAGAAACAAAGAAGGAAGGAGGAAGGAAGAGAGAGAGAGAGAAAGAAAGGAAAAAGAAAGAAAAGAGGACTGGGCCAAGTTATCCTGAATCAAGAAATAACAAAAGATCCCACCATTTAAAAGACAGAATCCGTTCTCCAGAGAGGGAACAGAGGCTGGAAATGGAATAAATACCTACTTATGAAGCCTCCATAAAAATCACCAAAATACAGGGTTCTGGGAACGCCAGGAGTGGGGCCCAAGAGAGCACTGAAGCTCCTCACCCTTTCCCACTTGCCCTGCTCACCTCTCCCAACAGGATTTTCATCCCATCCTTTATCATATCCTTTCATAGTAAACTGGTTAACAGGAAGGAAACTGTTTTCCTGAGTTCTGTGAGCAGCTCTAGCAAATTAATCAAACCCAAGGAGAGGGGCTGGTAACCTCTGATTTACAGCCCATCTGTCAGAAGCATAGGCAGTAACAACCTAGACTTGCAACTGGCATCCGAGAGATGAGGGCAGTCCTATGGGCCTGAGCCCATAACCTGTGAGATGTGACGCTACCTCCAAGTAGACAGTGTGAAACCGTGGGGTGCCCAGTTGGTGCCGGAGAATTGCCTGGGGCGGGGAAAATCCCCACAAATTTGGTAACAGGAAGCATCAGAAACACGAGCAAGAGTGGAGTTTTTCCAAAACAGTCCTAAATCAGACTTTACCTCATCTGCAAGACAATCTGAATTCTGTAACAAGACCAAGAAGAGAGGACCCACATCATCCAGCCCTGACCTACCTTTCCAACATCATCTCAGATCACACTTCACCTCACTCACCACACCCCAAGACCAGAGGCCCCCTTCATTCTCCTCGAGCACACTGAATCCCATCCCAGCAGTGTCTTTATAAGTGCTGTTCCCTTGGCCCAGAATCCTGAAGCCCCCTTTCTTTCTTCCCATCCTTGAGGTCCCAACTTAAATGCTACAGGTGCTTTCCCCATCATCCTAACTACAGTAGCCTGCTCCCATTACCCACCCACCATACCATCCTGTTCATTTCCTCTATATATAAAATGATCTCCTATATTTGTTTGATGGTTTATTTATCTCCTCTCTGTGGCCCCTACTAGAATGTAAGTTTCATATGGGAGGGATTTTGTTTGTCTTGTTCATGCCATATTCCCAGCTCTTTCAACATGCCTGGCATGTCATAGCCATCAACTGATTGATTTCAGCTCATTCTAGACAAGTAAGAACACTCCATGTTTAAAGGAAACTCAAAATATTCATTCTACTCTGAAAGGCCCATCTATTATCTAATTCTTCGATATCAGGAAAGTATTTGTGACATGTAACTAAAATCTCTTATGCTGCAGTTTAACTTCTCAGTAAAGACAGATACTTATCCACCTTTTAAAAGCTGACTGATTCTCCTTCCTTTAGTCCTCGTCTTCTGTTTCACTTTTTAATCTCTTATATTCACAGCTTTCCTGTCAACTTTCATGTGACTCCAGAAAGGTTCTAACCAAAACTGAGTAGTGGATTGTGCATCAAAGCATTCAGCCAGTTTAAGAACAGAAGCCAACTTCTGACCACCATGAGGGCTAGACCTTTACTTACGATCCTAAGAAAGAAATCCGGATGTAATCACTTCACATATCAGACCTCTGTGTTGTCTCTCTGTACCTTCTTGTTAAGTATTCTGGCCTCCACTTGGACCACTTGCCACCAACTTCACCTGCTTCACCTGGTCTGTTTGGGGGGACTTTTTTTGGGGGGGTTGATTTTTTTGGTCACACCACAAGGCATGAAAAATCTTAGTTCCCTGACCAATGATCAAACCCTGCAGTGGAAGCATGACACTTTAACCACTGGACTGCCAGGGAAGTCCCACCTGGTCTGTTTTTAAAGTAATATACTATATACTAGAGTATATACTATATAATACATATACTACATAGTTATATACTAGATTTCTAGTATATATGCTAGTAGATATATATATATATATCTACTAGATATATATACTATATACTAGACATGTGTGCATGCTAAGTCACTTCAGTCATGTCTGACTCTGTGTAAGCCCATGGACTGCAGCCTGACAGGCTCTTCTGTCCATGGGATTCTTCAGGCAAGAATATTAGAGCAGGTTGCCATGCCCTCCTCCAGAGGATCTTCCCAACCCAGGGACTGAACCAGCATCTCTTAAGTCTACCTACATTGGCAGGTGGGTTCTTTACCACTTGCACCACCTGGGAAGCTAAATACTAGGTATACTATGCTATATACTAGATATATATATCTACTAGTATATATACGAGAAATCTAGCATGTAACTATACCGTGTGTGTGTATATATATATATATATATAGTATATAGTATATAATCCAGTATATAATTTATATAATATACTAGATAGATATATAGAGAGAGATATATACACACATCATATATACTAGAGTTCTCAAAGCTGCTATTGTCTTTTTTCATTTTTTCCAATTTCTTTTGTGCGAGAGCTCTGGATTGACATTACAAAGCACTTAAGAGCAGGAAGCGCCAAATAGACCTATACCCCACAGAGTGTACTCTGAGGATAGATGACAGTGTTTAAGGTCCTGTTTCCTATACTTTGCCAAAGTGCTTATACTGTCATTTAGGATAAATGGCTTTGAAGGTCACAGCATAATCTGTTCTTTCACTTAGCTACCCTGACCTCTTATCTCCTGCTCCTCTCTGCTCTAAATATAGATTAAAGAAACTGCAGCCTTCCCCCCTGCCAAATACCCTGGCTACACCACCTACTATTTCCTGTCCTCTTGACCCAAAATTTGGCAAAAAGTGAGAAAACCAAGTCTTTCCCAAGCCAAAATGTCACAATCACTGGGAAGTTGAGAGTTCGCTAAATGGTATCACAAAGTTTTAAAAAAACTAGTAACAAGTCACCCAAATCCCTTTAAGAATTCAAGTTAGAAAGTAAAAAATAGAAAGGAAAGCAAAGCCTTAGAACTCCCAGAAATGTCAAAAATTCTTTTTTTCCCAAGTAATCTTAAGCAACTTTGAGGCGCCACCATACAGTCACACATGACACAAAAGTCATCACTGTGACATTAACAGAGAACAAAAATTTTTAAATAAGTGTATTTTAAAACTGTATATATCCTTGCCTTTAAATAATTCACAGTATGAAGAAACATTAAAAGTTTAACCTACCTTAGCTGGAGGAACTTTTCCAGCAGCTGTGATCTGACCAGTAAAAAACCGTCCAAAATGATTTGCTGCTAGTACAACAGCCTTGTAACTGAGGAAAATAGACAAATAAGAGGATAAAATTAAAGAACTTAAGCTTATATATAAAAATTATTAGAGAATAACAGCTAAAATTTATATAGTAAGTACTATCTGCCAAAAACAGCTCTAGGTACTGCATATATACTTACTCCTTTAATCTTCACAACAACCCTGTGGATAAATATAACTATAATCTTCATTTTATAGGTGAGGAAATTGAGGCAGGGAGACAGAGAGCCTTGACCTTGGTCCCTCAGCTATTAAATGGCAGAGCCAGACGTCTGACTCTAGCATCCTGCCTGCAGAGACATGCTCCATGATGTTCTCTGACGTCATGATGAGTGCTACAGAAAATTAGCTAGGATAAAAAGAGAAATGAAGGGAAGACAAGAAAATGCTAACAACAGTTTGCTTTGGCAGTTAGGACTACAGGTACTTTAAACTTTGTTTTACTTTATGGTCCAAATTTTCTTTGATGACTGTGTAGTATTTATATAATATGGGAAAAAAATCTTTAAAATTAAAAAATTAGGTTGGCTATCTGCTCATACATAACAAAATTCCAACCTCATAACCAAAAACACTTCCCCTGATCTCTAATGGTTGAAACTGTCATATTTCGAGACAGCATGATCTCAATTAGAATCTGAGTTCTATCACTAACTAGTTTTGTGACCTCAGGCAAATTTCTTTAATTCTCTAATCCTTGGTTTCCTCATCTCTAAACTAGGGACAATAAAGGTTTCTTAGAGCTGTTGTAAGGACTAAATAAGATAATCCAAGTAAAGCCCTTACCATAAAACCTGTCACAATAAGTGCTTGGCAAGTATGTTTTTAGCTAAAGAAACACTCTATACATCAAAAACTAGCAATTTATACCAAGTTTTCTTTAATAGGGTATTTTTATTACACTAAATTACCTATTACATTAATTTCATTTTCTTATTATTTTATACTTAAAAGGTTACTTTTGCACACTCAGTAACAAACACCCTACCTTAACATTGTAAGGCAAAGATTATTATAATCATAATGCAAGCATTATGATGATAAGATCCACCTACTAGCTGACAAAAAACCTTTACCTGGTCATATTTTTGTAAAAAAATTATATAATAATTAATGCAAAAGCATATAATAGTTACTACTATTACAGCAAGAAAAAATACTTTAATGATTATTTGTTAGTTCTGAATCCAAGTGATAAAAAGTTTCAGAGAGCAAAGATGATGAAGACTCAAAGGCCACTGGAAGAAATTAATTTTGAAATTAAAGTTTTAAAAGATTCAGTTGCTGTACTGGAAAAAAAAAAAAAGGTAGATTACACAGGAAATGTATAAGAAAACGTTAGTAGTGGGAAAAAGCGATAAAAGTGGGCCTTTTTTTGAGGAAAGCAAAAAGGCTCAGATGAACACAGTGAAATAGAAGGAGCAGGTCGTCACAGTAACACGCCTATGTGTGTGAGTTAGATAATGATTTATCACATATTGTACGGGTAAGTATACTAGATGATTCATCTCTAACTATGCCTTTTGCATATATCAACTCAGGACATAAGACAGTGATTCTTTAAAACTGTGTCCCTGGATCTCCAAAAGCTCACACTTCAGCCACTCTTAGAGCATCGAGGGTGGGAAGGAAAACAGAGACAGAGTGTTTCTGGACACCCTTCTGTCCCTTAATTCAACTGAAGTGAAGTGTTAGTCGCTCATACATGTCCAACTCTTTGCGACCCCATAGACTATAGCCCTCCAGGCTCCTCTGTCCATGGAATTCACCAGTCAAGAATACTGGAGTGGGTTGCCATTTCCCTCTCCAGGGAGATCTTCCTGACCCAGGGATCAACCCCAGGTCTCCTACATTGCAGGCAGATTCTTTTACTGTCTGAGAAAGCATTAACTCAACTAAGGCCACCTGAATTATTGATTTGTTTATATTCCCTCATGTTTCATTTGCTCAAAAGATTCTGCAGCTGAAAACCACTGATCTAGAGCTACTGACTGGGATAACCTTTTGCACATGTGCAAAGCAACACCATCCTTAAAACTTCACATTGTTCATTTCCTACATAAAGGTTTCCCTGATGGCTCAGATGGCAAAGAATCTGACTGCAATGCAGGGGACTGGGGTTCAATCCCTGGGTCAGGAAGATCCCCTGGAAAAGGGAATAACTACCCACTCCAGTATTCTTGCCCGGAAAATTCCATGGACAGAGGCACCTGGCAGACAACAGGCCATTCAGACACAACTGAGTGACACTTTCTTTCCTATATAAAATTTTAAGTCCCACACTGCATAACCTAACTCTTTCAGAAACTAAATAAATGTGACAAAAGTTTACTTTGTCCCTCGGCATTAATTCACATCACAAAAAAAATCTTCACACCAACCATTTGTCATATTACATAAGGAAACAAAATGTGCTCTATATGTCATTTTTGTTTACTGCGCCTCTTTTACATCAAAAATGAACAGCTGGAATCCAGAGTAGAATCTGTGGCACATTTGATATGCTAGATCTAAGATGTGAAACCTAAGAAAACTTTCGGCTCCTGGGTCAGCTGTAAAAGTCTTTATTCAGGTTATCTTTCTTCCTGCACCGTTTGATTTTTTAAATTTTTTCATTTGTTGGTGCCTCATTCATATTAGCAAGTTGTCACTATTATTAGTTTTCTGCTTAAAATCTAATTCAATTCGTTTCTTAGATAACCTGATTTCATAAACATCATCTGATTTCCAGATTTTTCCCACTCTCCAGGCAGAGTCAGCAATATACTGCACTTACATAGTTATGCCTATCCCTGCTCTGTGGCATGGTTACTTAGTCAGAGACACGTTCCTCTGATCTGAATGGGTCCTAGAATTCTTCTCAACACAGCAGTCCAGGCAATAGATGGGGAATGCATTCAGGCCAGCAGGCAAATGAAGTTTATTGCCATCTTGGCCATAGTTAGCCTTCAGTTATCATGGGTTTTGATCTAAGATGAAACTTCCTCAAGTGCAGACATTTTCCCTATTCATTAAATAATTTATAAATTTCCCTAGGCAAAATCTAATTAAAGTGATAAATCTATCAATATGTATATATTAGATGAGACTATATGAAACTGCTAATGTTCTACCATTTTTGACCCTATGACAACAGTAATTTATGTCAACTAAACTTAATCTGATAATAATTTCATAATATATACATATATCAAATCATTGTATAAATTTTAAGATGGAAACAATGTTCTATGTCAATTATATTGCAATAAAACTGTAATTTCAACTAATATATACATAGATACACACATACATACACACATATGAAATACAGTATATCACCATTAAAGTACAAATAAGTTCCAAAGGAAAAAAATTGGAACATTATGTATTCAGAAATCAGAAGTACTTTTTAAGCATAGATTCAGAAGCCTCATAATTAGTAAACTAAAATAAGACTTTCTACATTGCACCCTTTCTCATTCTATATAAATAACAGTCTTAAAAACACTACTAGGCTTATGTGAATTTTAAACCATTTGTTCTAAATTGTTATCACTACCCCTGCTATTGACTTTAGTAAAATATGAGTTTACTACATTAAAGCTTTTGGATAATTATAAATTGCTAAGACTGTGGTTTACTTACCATGAAGTTTTTCATGAAAACAGATGCTAAGAAAAATAAGCACACATTTCAAAAAAAATCATTTCCTTTGGTAGAAAGACATACTACTTCCCTTCGGCCCATGAAGATTAAAAAGTAACATACAATAGCATGCCAAGTGAATAGCCATTTCCTACTGATGACTGTGGAACAATACGAATCTTAAAAATAACTGAAGTACACTCTCAGAAGGCTGCAATCTCCTAGCCAGTACAAGTAAAATCATTCTGAGCGAGAAGAGCTATAGAGAGCATGTTTCTGTAGCACCATTGTGCTTCTGTTCAACTGGAAAAGAATCAACCTACCCAGCAATGTTGGCCATGGAGCTTAGAGCATCATATCCCTGAGCAATTGTGACTCTTGGAACCTGGTCCATCGCCAGAACTGTCGTATTCCTTTTGGACAGTTTATTTAGCAAGTCTGGATTTTGGGCTGGGTAAATAAAACTGATCAGTGTTCCCGATGTCTTTAAAAGGTCAGCCTCATGAATACCTAATGTCGGGTTAAGCATAGGGGCTCGCACCTGAAAAAAAAGTCAAGTCACTGATTAAAAATGTAACTACCTTTACCTTATTTTTAAGTAAGCATGACAACTAAAATAATATGCCATCACTGAAGTAACACTCCAGAAATAATCTCCCATGAAAAAATTTCTTACTCAATTCCTAAACAAAATAAAGCACATAGAAATCTATGCCACTGATTACCCGACTGAACTTATGACCTAGACTTGAGTAACAAGCACACATACCTGGAAATAGTGTCAGGACAGGTTTGACAATGACAGGTAGAGGAGTTAAAAAAAAAAAACAAAACCTGAGAAAACAGGTTCTACAACAAAATCTGTCCTCCCAAGATCCACTACTCTGGTAAAATTAAGAACATTAGAATAAACAGACAGTAAGCTTTTGTTGAATGTTCACAGATTCTTGTTAATTTGCAAGCACAAACATTTGGAGTGGTGAGAAGTTAAGAACATCATAAACTAAAATCTCCATGTCATGTGTATAGATTTATGTCACCTTAGAGTTCCAGAAAAATCTACAGATGAACACAACTCAAACCAGTAGCCTTGCTGAGTTGGGTTTAAGCAAAAAGTTACAACATACTCTGTTAAGTTGGATCAAGTCAATGAACACACACTATACATGCCTGAAAGTTTCAACTGTCTACTTTTTCAAGCCAAATCTCTAAAACTTCCAATTAAAAAGGTGTTTTAAAATGTGTTTATATCCCTGTTCAAAGTCAGCCTTCAATTAAAGTGTATCATTTCATTAGCTCCCAATTTGCAGCAGTAGTGCTCTTAGGCTAGAAAGCATAGAACAAAAACAGCTCTGGGACTTCTGTTTTAAAAGGAAACAGAAACACAAACACTGGGTCAATACTTTCATTTAACAGCATTTCATCTCAATTTACCTAAGAAACACCTTTATCTGTCATTCCCATTTCTGTTGTTGATGTGATGATGCGTGTGATTTTAGGCTCTGGACTTTAATTAAGACTCTCTGACAAGGTCTATTTTTTTCCTCAGTGAGAATCTATAATATAGATTTAATAAACATTAGAGGACAACTTTGAATATTCTCAGCCCCTATCAAATGCTTAGCTGAAACTGTTGACATCTGAGTGAGTGAAGCAAACAGAATGTCTCCCTGAAGATGCTTTTTGGGGTCACGAATTCCTCAGAATATTAACAGGCTTGACTCAAGAGAGAGACCCTAAGGTCAAGTAGTTTATTACTACAAATATAAAATTATTTAAGTTTTCATATTACAGGATTCCTGTAATATGTAATACAGAGCCATGTGTCTTTAACATGGCTCATACACATTGTGAATCTACAAGAAACACATAGCATTTCTAAAGCTTATGTGCACCCTAGTAACCCCTTTTTGTGGGGTATCTCAAAAGGTTCTTGATCCCTAAAACATACATTAGAATGGATTATACTTATTTTTTTATTTTCCCCTAAGCTTTTATTATACTGTTATCTCAAGTATCAGTATACCTAAACACTTAAATTACTATTTATTTCCATATCATAAATTTGTTATTAATTTTCTATAGAAAAAGTTTTGTGCCTCCTGCAAAAAAAAACACTATGTAAAAAAAAAAAAACCCACTATGTAAGATTCTATCAAGTTATTCAGTTGACTATATGTAAAAACGCCTATGTATTGATTCCCTTTTAGAAATTACTGTAGGAAAAAAGCTGGTCTATCCTAGAAAAGTGAGACTATTTTAACCTGATAAACATGCTTATTTAATCCATACCTCATTACTTGCCTTGGTTGCATGTTAAGACATTTCAGTCATGTCTGACTCTTTGCGACCATATAGACTATAGCCCAGCAGGCTCCTCTGTCCACAGGATTCTCCAGGCAAGAATACTGAAATGGGTTGCCATGCCCTCCTCCAAGGGATCTTCCTGATGCAGGGACTGAACCTGCATCTTCTGCGACTCCTGCATTGCAGGCGGATTCTTCACCACTGAGCCACCCAACAAGCCCCACCTGCCTTGGTTACAGAAGGCTTAAGATTTAAGTTACTGTTCAGCTCATCTGTTATACTCTTGATACAGTTTCCCTTTCTCTACATGATTTTTTACTTCAGATTTTATTTGTAAAGTTCTTTAGCATATAGCTCTCTATTACACATTACCTTAAGGCCTTTTATTAAAGTAGTTAAGTCTATTCTAAGCCCAACGTTACTTTTTCCAGAATAGTCCTGCCCTCTAGAAATACTTACATCAGTTAAATCACTGACCTAAGATCCTTCAAGATATCAGAATATCACTGTGCATTCAGTCCAAGGAGTTCTTTGCCTCTTTACCATTCTAGTAGGAGTTAAACACTCACTCAGGGATACTGTGGACATATAGGAACCGTATGGTACAAATGTTCCCTAGCCAATAAGAAGGAAATTCCACACAGCAAATCTAAGAAAGAAGACCACTTCTTCTTTTCTCATGCTTAAATATAGTAATATAGTTCACATTGCCTCATAAAAGTTCTGAGTTCCCTTGTGGCTCAGACAGTAAAGAATCTGCCTGCAATGTGGGAGACCCAGGTGTGATCCCTGGGTTGGGAAGATCCCCTGGAGGAGGGCATGACAATCCACTCCAGTACTCTTGCCTAGAGAATTCCAGGGACAGAGGAGCCTATCAGGCTATAATCCATGAGGTCACAAAGAGTCGGACATGACTGAGTGACCAACACTTTCACTTTCATAAAAGTTCTACTGAAACATGAAGAATAGTCACAACAGGCAATCATTTCTTTGAGGAAAAAAGCATCATTTGAAAGTATGAAAACTATAACAAAAGAGAAGGCACTTTAGTCTTTGTACAAGAAGTAATCTTTCTACAAGAAGATTTAGAAAAGTCAGCATGCCATAAATGGAAGGAGGAAAGGAATAATTACTTTGACCACCAAATCAGAAGCCAGCACTTCCTTCGTCCCTTGGATCTGGGCACCCGCTGCTCTGTAGTGATCATCTGAGAACTTGGAAGCTTCGCCTGCACCAGATTCCACAACAACGTTAAACCCCTGCTTGACCAAGGCTTGAACGCCAGCAGGAGACAATGCCACTCGCTTCTCATTTTGGAAAATCTCTTTGGGGACCCCAACAGTTAGTTGCTTATATGGAATTCCTACAACAAAGACAAAAAAAAAATTTTGGTAAGAAACAACACCAAAAGTCAATGTTTTAATAATGAAGTTCAGAAAATGGAAATGGGAAATTTGTTCAAAATATACTACATGTACAGGCTGGTGTTCAAAGTGGTGTTCCTGATTCATAATCATAATTTTTTACCTTTTTTTGATAGATGATGGGAAATTCTTATACCTACTCTCCTGAAAATCCTAAATATTTAACCAAATAGCTTTCTTTAAGGCATATGACTAGCTTAGCTTATTCTTAGGGAAAAAATGGGTTGAAAGGCCACTCAACACACTGACTCCATTCATCAAACTAAACCTCTGTGGTTTATGGTCCCCTGGTCCTTATCTTTAAGGAAGACAGAAGTAATTGTTGCTCAGTCACTCAGTTGTGTCTTGACTCTTTGCGACCCCATGGACTGCAGCACACCACACATCCCTATCCTTCAACATCTCCCATAGTTTGCTCAAACTCATATCCACTGAGTCAGTGATGCCATCCAACTAACTCATCCTCTGTCACCCCCTTCTCCTCCTGCCTTCAATCTCAGAATCAGGGTCTTTTCCAATGAGTTAGCTCTTTGCATCAGGAAGCCAAAGAACTGGAGTTTCAGCTTCAGCATCAGTCTTTCCACTGAATATTCAGGGTTGATTTCCTCCAGGATTGACTGGTTTGATCTCCTTGCTGTCCAAGAGACTCTCAAGAGTCTTCTCCAGCACCACAGTTCGAAGGCAACAGTTCTTCAGCGCTCAGCCTTTTTTATTGTCCAGTTCTCACATCCATATATGACTACTGGAAAAACCACAGCTTTGACTACATGGATCTTTGTAAGCAAAGTAATGCCTTTGCTTTTTAATACACTGTCTAGGTTTTTCATTGCTTCTCTTCCAAGCAGCAAGTGTCCTTTAATTTCACGGTTGCAGTCACCATCCACAGTGATTTTGGAGCCCAAGAAAATAAAGTCTGTCACTGTTTCCATTGTTTCCCCATCTATTTGCCATGAAGTGATGGGACCAGATGCCATGATCTTCATTTTCTGAATTTTGAGTTTTAAGCCAGCTTTTCACTTTCCTTTCTCACTTTCATTAAGAGGCTCTTTAATTCCTCTTCACTTTCTGCCATAAGGGTGTATATCTGAGGTTATTAATATTTCTTTCTCCCCACAATCTTGATTCCAGTTTGTGCAACATCCATTCTCGGCCACAACTGATTAGACCAGGGGGTCAGCAGCTGGGTTAAAGATAACAGTCTACAGGCCAGACAGAAGGAAAACCAGTAGCACATGAGACAACTTATAGAGGAACTCTGCCTTGTGGATACTCCATGTCAGCCAATGACTATTCAACCCAATCAGGATCTCTCAGAGAGAACTGGGACATGAGACCCACCAAAAAGGACCAGGAGAGTAGAATGATGCAGCAACTATTTGTAAACAGAGCCACGAGGTAATCGGAGGGAGGTGGTCAGCAGCCACAGTAGTAGAAACGTTGGTAGTGGGCATGCAGATGGAAAAGAGGAATGACAGCAATGAAATCCAGAATAACACCCCACTTCTCCAAGAAGGAGAAGAACGGTTTCCTGTGCTCCATACTCCCCAAAAATCCATACAATAAAAATAAAACCTCAGCACAAAATACAACCTGCTGTGATTCTGTTCCCTGCAACACAGAAGAACCCGTGTAACAGTTAAATTATTTATCCCTGAAGAAGGAAATGGCAACTCACTCCAGTATTCTTGCCTGGAAAATCTCACGGTCAGAGAAAACTGGCATGCTGCAGTCCATGTAGTTGCAAAGAGTCAGACACGACTTAGCAACTGAACAGCAACAAATTATTTATATACAGTTCAGACCAGCCTTAGCTAAAATACACTAGTTTTTCTTTATGTTGTTTTACTCAATATATGGGCATAAATGTTTTTAATGAAGAGCATCTGCTTCTATATGTCTTATTAAAGTTTAGAAAACTTACTCTAGCAATCTAAACTTTAAATATATATAATAAAAAGGTAAATCAAAATATCTCTACAGAGACACTAAATCAACCTAAAAATAGCTGCATTGGAGATACAGTCTTAGATCTCATACTATTTAAGCAGTAATAATTGATAGTAAGCCAAAGGCAAACAAATGCTGAATCTTCCTCTCTACTTAAAAGAGAGGAAAAAACTGAAAGATAGCAAATATTTTGGATTAAGGTAAAAAATTAATTATATAAACTTATCTAGAGTTCACTCATTGGACAACCTCAAATTCTCTAGGTCCCACATATCATATGCCGAGGAAGTTACCAAAGACAGATGAAGTCATATCAAAAGGATTTAGGAACCAACCTGGAAGGGCTTCCACTGACCAGATATGAGACAATTTGAGCATCAAAAAGGAAAATAATTAATTGCAAATGTCATAAAATACATATAAAAATGTTAAAATCCATGTGTTCATGATAATAAATATTTCAGAATTCAAAAATATTCAAAAAATAAATATTTGCTAAAAGCTTCTCAACTTTGGAGAAAGTAATGTGTGGTAAAATGAATAACAGTCTCCCAAATATATCCATGTCTTAATCCTCAGAATCAGTGAATACGTTCCAGTACATGGCAAAGGAGAATTATGATAACAGATGGAATTAAGGTTGTTGATCAGCTAACCTTGAAACAGGGAGAACATCCTAAATTATTTGAGTGAGCTCAATATATCACATAGATCCTTAAATGTGAAAGAAGGGAGCAGAAGAGTCAGAGTCAAAGAAAAATTTGGAGATGCTATCCTGCTGGCTTTGAAGATGAAGAACCAGGCTATGAGCCAAGGAACGCAGACAGTCTCCAGAAACTGGAAAAGGCAAGGAGACAGATTCTCTCCTAGAGCCTCTGGAAGGAATGCGTCCTGCTGACACCAGTGAGAACCATCTCAGGCTTTGGCCTCCAGAAGTATAAGATAATAAAATAAATGTGTCATATGGAGCCAGTTTGTAATCACCTAATACAGCAGAAGTAGAAAATGAATACATAAGAGAACCAACCGATGAGCAAAACTAATAAATACTGAACAATGATCAAACATCTACCCATCTTTCCGATACAACCTCAAAGTAACTAAATACAGTTGGCCCTCTGTATCCACAGACTTCCCAGGTGGTGCTAGTGGTAAAGAACCCACCTGCCAATGCAGAAGGGTCAGACACAACTGAAGTGACGTAACACACACAGGCATCATGAGTAACCTAAGAAAGAAAGTGAAGTCGCTCAGTCGTGTCCAACTCTTTGCGACTCCATGGACTGTAGCCTACCACGCTCCTCCATCCATGGGATTTTCCAGGCAAGAGTACTGGAGTGGGTTGCCATTTCCTTCTCTAGAGGATATTCCCAACGCAGGGATGGAACCTGGGTCACCCACATTGTAGGCAGACGCTTTACCATTTGAGCCACCAGGGAATCAACCTAAAGATGAGTAGCCTAAAGATGACTTAAAGTATACAGGAGGATCTGTGTAGGTTATATGCAAATACTACACCATTTTATATAAGGAACTTGAGCATCCAAAGATTCTGGTACTCATGGGAGGCCTGGAACCAATCCCCCATGGATACCAAGGGATGACTGTAACAGAAGGAAAGTTTTTCTAATAGAAAAATTCTAGCTAATAAATGAAGATAAAATGATAGGATATTAAAGCTCCTGATAAAATCACACATTTAGTTAACAATCAATTAAATGGCTGCTAGTGCCGCTGAGTGAAAAATCAATGGGAACTTCACAATAGATAGATCACACTGACAATATCTAAACTCACTGATCAATCTTCCTGATGTAATACAACAGATAGTGCACAACATCACCTATGAAGTACACCAGCTGAAAAAGGCAAACCTGAGTCTGATCAAGCCTCGAGATCTAGCTAAATATTACAGAAAATACAAGAAACCTAGTTAAATGATACTAAGGGAATAATTTGGGAAATTCTACAGGACAACTAAATTCTTCAACAAATGAAAAGATAGAAGAGGAAGATACAGACTGAAAGAGACCTAAGAGACAAGCAAGTAAATACAACACATGGACTCTGTTTGGATCATAATTTGAACAAGGAATCTGTTTAAAAAAAAATTGATTAAATATTAAAACTGGCTGAAATTACTTTTCAAGCTTCTCAATGTGTTAATGAAATTGTGGCCATATTAAGGAATAAACAGAATCCTCATCTTTTAGAGATTAAAAAAATAATTATCTAGGAAATAGTCAAGAACAGAAATTAAGCAAACAAAAAAAGCCTTACTCACAATTGATAATACAGATCTTGAAGTACATGCTTTCACTTACAAGGACAATTCCCATGTACTCAGTGTAGTTACTGACTTTTGCTTTATACACATTCTTATCACACTGGATAATCTGGCCTTCCAGAACACTTAATCTGAAGATAAGGCTGAGGGCTCTCAGAGGCAGGTACCCTGCCAGTAGTGACTTGTCACGTGAGAATAAGAAAAGAGGCTATGAAATCTACTAAAGGCAGACATAAGAACTGAAAACACTTGGCAATTTAGGCATGCTTAATGCACAAACAGTCCTACAAACAAAAAGAGAATTATTCTATATGGCAAAGACTTCTGATTCCTCCCAAATATCCATGCTGTTCCTCCCCTAAAAATAACAGAATGCTGTTTTTATTTAAGTATGTTGCCATCTAGAATAAAAGACTAAATGTCCAAGCCTCCCTTAGAGCAACATACTGCCACCTGAGTTCTGGCCAATGAGGTACTGAAAGAATGCTAGAAGGGTCTTTGGGCAAGATGCTTAAAGGGATCTGACACAGCTTAAAAGGTGCCCCTTTTATCCTCTCCTCCTTCTGGCTTGTAACACAGAACAGAAGCATGTGGGAGTCCTAGCAGAGAAAGCCTGTAGGCCACTGGAAGACTTCAGCTATTGCTCTGTGTGAGCTAGGAAGCTAGTGGCAAATTTGGACAGAAGAGTAACGTGATCTTTCCTTTTTAAAAGACTGTTCTCACTGTCTTGTACAGGATAGACTGTTGGCAGGACAGAGGCAAAGAGCAGAGAGGCCACTTAGAAGACTAATGCAATAGTCCAAGTGACAGACGATGGCGGCCTGGACCAGGATGATAAAAGTGGTGGCGGTGAGAAAAGAAGAGATTCAAGATACAGTGCAGAGCTGGTCTATATCCATCATAAGCACCTGGAATGACTCTAAGGTTTCTGCCCTGAGTAACTGAGATGAAGCTGCCACTTACTACATCAAGAAACATTAACGCAAATCAATCAATATGCTCAGTTCCTAATTCTTAAGCATCGTTAAGCCATGTATGGTACGATTCCCCAATACCAACTAGGAAAGAGGAAGAGCTCCTAGGAGAAATGGTTACTATGAGCAATGGTTTCCTAGGAATAAACTCAATTTATTTAACATTTTTCTTTTTCCATTGTATTTTCTTCTCTGTTAGCACTGACAGCCAAGAACTTCCGTACATGGAAAATATAAGAAAGCACTCATTCGGTTTTTTACTCAAAATGACCACTCACAAGCACTAGGCTGTAAAACTGCGTGGTTTATCTATCATCATCAGATCTATTGTTTCTATGACTCAAAGTGAGACTTTACCTGGTTTTACAGGGGCTTTACACCACAGTATCCGATGAGTATGAAATGTTCGTAAAAAATTCTTCTTCCCTGGTAGAACTTTACAGGACCCCAAATTGCTGAGGAAAGGGCATGAACAGCCAGTCACCACTGTTTTCAGTAGGTTCGCCATGTTCACAGGAAGTTGCCGATTTTCTGGATCCCCAATTTCCTTAAAGGTAAATCACTAAAGGAAAGAAAGCAAAAGTGTATGTGCTGAGAATAACATACTTTGCCTTTCGGACATCAAAAACATTTTTTTAAAAAAAGCAAATTGAGAGAGGTTGGAAAATGACAGTTAAATGTGGGCATCTACAAAGAATCTATTTGCCAAGTCCTTTACTTAAAGAAGATGCTTCAAAAGGTTGTTTCCAATTCAGGTCTTTAAAACTTGGAATCCGTTTTCCCACTCAAAATTGTAGTTATAAACTCATTATTCAATTCCAAGCTAGGTCACATAAATCTAAGTGATCTTTAATGTAGCCGGAAAGTTAAGAAAAGTTGCTATAAAGTCCAGTCACATCATATACGAAGGTTATCATCTCAGTTTGCCCAGCAAAAATTGCACAAAATCAAAATTCCCCTTAACTTTCCTTAGATTGTCTAAATAGTACAGTAGTACCTGTTTGGCCACTATACAATACAGAACACACCACCATCCTTTGCGGTGAAGCAGGCTATACACCCTGTGAGACATACACACCCCACCCCAAACCCAGCTGGACTGAGTGAACAAAAGATTCACGCTTGCCAGGTGTACATCTCAAGAAAATATAACACGCACGAAATACAACTCCAATTTTTTTAAAAAGAAAAAAAAAATTCCATGGTTAACTTTACCACATAGGTTTGTGCTTGCATATGTGGGCGTAACTAGGAATTCTGAGAGTGGTTCTCACCAGAGGCCCGTTTTTGCCAGCTCTAAATGAGCTAAGTGGAATGGCATTAACCTTTGCTGTTTTGGAGATTTCAGTGGCTATTTTCTCCTACAGATCCCGGGGGAGGACACAGAAGGCTCTCCCACCATCCCCCTGATTCCCAATGCTCTCTTTCCTCCAAAAATGTGAAGAAGTAGAGGACCTGGAACTCTTCTCAATCAACCACAGCTAACTCCACTTACTATGCCTTTAGGCTCTGCCCCATGGTGCGGGCCCTTCTGGGACCCAGCACCCAAACCCAGCAGCCTCCAAAAACATACTTCCAATCTCCAGAGGAAGAAGGGTCTAACTCATTTTTCATGTCATAACTACTGCCACAAGTCGTTGAAGCCACTTCCTGCAAATACCAGAAAGCAACACTGGGAACAGAAATGCTCAATCCAGGTAGTTCTTATTCTTGATGCTCTTTAATTCAATAAACACACAGAGGGCTGAGTCTCAGAAGCGCAGCCATTAGGAGCATCTGTAGAATTAAACTGGAATCGGTTACAGACTTGGAGATAAGAAAAGTCAATAAGCAATAACAGAGAAAGCAGAGTAACCCAAGTCCAAAGTTCTTTGAGGCATCAAAGAAAATCACATCCTCTTGCAGGGCTAAGAAAAGGAAGGGAAAGGCACTTGAAAAGGAGAGAATACTATGAACAAAGATAAGGAAAGGGGAGCAGACAAGATATGTCCAGGCATGCAACCAAAAATGTGAATAATTCTTTACATGCTGATAGAAGACGTTATATTTTCAGGGTATTTCCATATATGTCATTTCATCTCAGTCTTTCTAAAGCATTCCTGAATCAATAAATACCCTCCTCGTTCATTCAGAGGTCACTTCTAGAGTTATTCATGGCTGAGAATGGAGAACTAACAAGTTCAAAATTCAGCCACCCACTGAAAACATTCACTGAATCTACGCCAAAAACTGAGGGAGATCCAAAGATATACAAAAGATAATTCCTGTCAAAAGGGAAATTTTTTCCCACCACTACCAAGGACCTAGTCCTAGCCCAATCTCCCCATTTACCCTTGTTTCTCTTCCTGCATCATCCCAGCTCCCCAACAACCACCATTCTCACTGGTCAGGCTTACCCAGACCTCATCAGCAAAATAACAAAGCTAGTTATAATGCAGCCTGGGTATTGTCTAAACCTGCTACTCACTCGCTGTTTGGCTTGAATTTCTCGGCATCTCTGCTCATCTATAAAAGGAGCACAGGAAAGTTCCCTTGAAGGGCACAATCAGGCTCTAGAAGTTTCATCATTTGATGGAGATTTTGCAATGCTCTAAAGCTGAAGTCCTGCTTCATGGCCTGGAGTCTGCAAAATTTTCCCTGTCTACTTAAAAATTTGTAATTTGATGTTGAACAGAGCCCGGGCATCAGACATCAACATAGCCAAGGCCTTCAGAGACCAACTGTTCCCCCAAATTCCACTGATTCAAGCTATGAGCATATAAGACAGTTGATAAGGAAGTAGTTTAGTGGCAAGAAAATGTCACTAAGCCTAAATCAAATAAAAATGACCCTGAAAGATACTCAGAGAATATCTGAACCATGTTATCACAGCTGAGGACTGTTTACAGCAAAGAACAGTAGAGGTGACCCTTGAACAACAGGGTTTGAACTTCATGGATCTGCTCCTAGGCAGCTACTTTTAAATAGTAAATATCAATAGTACAATATACACAGTGTGCAGTTAGCTAAATCCTCAGATGGGGAGGAACTGCAGACACGGAGAGCTGTTACCTATCTTAATTGTCACATCTTCCCCTATCTTCACTTGAAAGCTCTCTGCTATTTTATTATCCATGTGCTTCTATGGCTATTAAGAAATGGACAGCAACTTTACAACTGAAAATTGGGGCATTCACACCGCCAGTTAATGTAAGTCATTTTGGTATCTCCGCTAATAGATTAAAATCCTTGGAGGCAAGCACCTGAGAGAGGATATCATAGAGGCTAAGAGTGTGAACTCTTAGTTGGAAGCCCCACCTGCAACACATTAGCTGTGTCACCTTGGCAAATCACTCAGCTTCCCTGTATCTGATTTCATCCCCTTTAAAATGGGGAAAATAATAACAGTACCTTGTAGGGTCACTGTGAGGATTAAAAGAACACAGTATCTTTACTGCTATCAGTATTCACTTTAGTATTGCCTCTGCCCAGCGCCTTGCACAAAATACAGGAAATCAACAAGTATTGTTTGATTGAGTGAATGTGTAACCAGAGTTAGATAACCTGAAGCCTGGGGTTCTATGAATATATTCTCCAAGGAGTTTCAGGAAATTTCCTTTAAAAATTAAACGCTATGTAGCTTTGTGAAAAAGTGATTCCATCAGCAGATGTAAGCAGCCTGAGCACACTTGCTGACAAGAAAGCAATCCTAAACTGCCAATTCAATTTTTTTTTTTAATTTTTAAATAGCCGCAGTTTGCAGAAGGGAAACATTTTAAATAGAAGTACACAACCTTCGCTGTTCCGAACACATCCTGTCCTACAAGACTCCTTACAGATTCCTTAAGGAATTCTCTGCACCAGAGGGCGAATAAAGGGCACCTGCAACTGTAATAAACAAGCCACGCTCTTCAAAGCGAGACATGCCAACCAAGGACACAATACCCTACCAAAGCTTAAACTAGCAGGCAGTGTGACCTCGCTCAAACCCACAAGTTCAAGCTCCTCCCTCGGCAACTAAACTGCCACCCGGCTAGCATCTGCCAGGGACCGCTATTTATAACCTTTCTCGGAAGCCGATTGGTGGAGACCGGCGGCATACTAGTCATTCAGCCTCCGGAGTTCGAATCAGCTCAGCCCCACTACACGATCTTTTCCCCCATCGCCAGCCCAGACCCCACTCTCAGCCCAATACAGGCTCGCCCAGACTAACACCAGCCTGCCCCACCCCCCATACACTTACAACTTTCAACATCACCACCTGTGTCTGCAGTCGGTCACCCACCCCAAATTCTTTCCGGGTTCAAGCACAGTTTCGGGGCGTCCAGGTGCCACCTCTCTGGATGCACCACTTATCGAAAGTCCTCTGTAGCCTCCCTCCCTCTTCCCATCCTTTAAGCTGAAAGGACCTCGTAGAACTCCAGCCCCCTGCCCCCAAAGCTCCAAAACCTGCATCTGCACACCTGACACCTCGATCCCTGCCCTCTGCGGCGGAAACCCAGTTCTCGAATCCACCACCCCCGACTGGCTTCCACGTCGCCCCCGCTTGAGACCAGAAAGAGGGCCCTAGAGGCACGGCCCCAGGCTCCCGGGTGCACCCGGCGCCCTGGTCATTGCCGACCCCGCCCCCAGCGGCTCCCTGACAGGTCTCCTTCCCGCCTCGGGGACCTCGACCTTCCCGTACCAGCCCCACGCCCCTTCCCCAGCTGCGCCCCAGGCGCGTGCCCGGGCTGCCGGCGCCTTGACGCTCACCTTGGCGGGGAGGTCAGGCGCCCGCGGGCCGCGAGGGGACGCCGCGCTGGCAGACCCGGGCTCCAGCCCCGCGGCGCCAGCAACCCGGAAGAACAGCCCCAACCCCGTAGCTGCGGAGACCACGTGACCGCGGCGCAGCCCCCACCCCGGTTCCCTGGGCCCCCCCTCGTCCCCTCCTCGCCAGGCCCTTCCTCCCGCCCGGCCCCCTCAACCAGCCCGCCCGCCCTCTCTTCAAATGAGAAAGCGACCCCACGAAATGCCCCTTAGAGCGCAAAGACCAGTCACCCCAAAGGACCCTTGCCTTTTCTCCCGGGGCTGCCAAAACCCTCTTTGTCTCGGGCTCGACCTGCTGCTCCTCGGCCCCGCCTCCGTGCGCTCCCTCCGCCCGTCCTTGTCAATCAAACCTGGAGCCCAGCGCGGGCGCTACATTTGTCCTCTGCTGGAGAGCCAGGAACCAAGTGGGAGTACCTCCAGTGTCCCACCAGAGCAAATAAAGTAACAGGACTCCACTTCTGGTACCTGCCTTTCCTCTAGCTCTCCAGGAAAAATCAGAACTTCTGAAACAGAAGACCAAAAAGAAAGTGAGAGGAGGCCAGGAGGTGGTGACGGGCGGGAATGGGAGCGTTGTTTTTAATTCCGGATGGAAAGGTGGAGTTAAATGCTTCCGAAACGATGTCAAGGCCCGAAAATTAACACACGTCTGCGGACGGGTCTGCCAACGGCCCGCCCACGGAAAGCCGTGTGCTTCTGTGAGTGTTAATAGCCAGGGGCTGGAGG